GCCCATTTCGGGCGTCCAAATTGGGAGCACGGAAGGGGTACGCATGGACGGGGATCCGGCGGGTGCCAACGTCAGGCGACCGCAGACATGGATCGAGGGGGCGTGGAATCAGCGACGGGCCCCGCTTCCCGAGCGGGGCGGCACGGGCCGCATTTTGGGCACTGTGCCCCTTCTTTCCGTGCCTATCTCGGGCGTCCAAGGCTGTTCTCCACTGGGAGCCGCCCCCCCCCCCCCTTGCCCCCCTGGAGGGGCGGGCGCCCCGCGGGCCCGGCCGGCCGTGCGAGGCCCCGTGTCGCGGGTGCTCTCCACGCCCCTCGGGGAGGGGGAACAAACACACACACGCACCACAGACACACACACACACACACACACACACAAACGCACGCACGCACGCACGCACGCACGCACGCACGCACGCACGCACGCACACAAACACGCACACACACACACCCACACACGCACGTACACCACAGACACAGCGAATCGCCGATGCCCAGGAAGGCGATGAAAAGTACGGGAAGTGGGGGGGGTGGGGGGGGGGGAAACGACGGAACCCCGGCACACGTGGGCAAATAGGGGGAGTCCTGGAACTTGTGTCTATCTATTTGTGTGTCCCAGGGCCGTTTTTCAGCCGCTTGGTTTCAGGTATCTTCAAGGGCCCGTTCGGCGAAGGGGCCCCTGTTCTCGACCTGCGATCTAATGGCGATGTGAATACTGTCTAAGGCGCGAGCCCCAGGTTGGAAAGGAGCTTGCCTGTGTCGAGTTCGTTGTCGGAGTTGTTCTGGCGAGCGTGGCCAGTGCCAAGGCGAGATTCCAACTTTGAAACGGTACAGCCCTTCATCCGTACAATCGGCTGGACACTCTTATGAGGGGTGAGCGCGGCGCCAAGACGGCAGTCCCATTGTGAAAAGGATCGCGCTTCATCTGAGCAAGTGTTGGACGTGTTGAAGAGGAGTGTGCGCGGCGCTATTGCGAGAGCACCGCTTTGAATCGGCAGCGACCCCCACGCGCATAGGCGCTGAACAGGTCAAGCTGTGAGGAGCAGAGGCGGTGAGGAACTGTCCATCGGCCCGCCCTAACACGACATGGCTGGTGGTGCGCCAGGGAGGAGCCACCTGCAAGGACAAGGGGTGGAGGCGCCGCAGCGGATGGAGGAGGAGGAGGAGGAGGAGGAGGAGGAGGAGGAGGAGGAGAGGCCACAGCAGCGACTCGCCAAGGATTGACACAGCCACAGCCTCCGGGTGTTCACCGAAGTCTCCCCGTGCCCAGGGTGGCCCCCCAGGAGTTCGCAGGGGGGGCCCCCCCTTGGCCTCCAGAGACCCCTCGCGAGGCTCAGAGGGCTTCCCTCCTCTTCCCCCTCCGCCTCCTCCTCCTCCCCTCTCCTCCTCCTCCTCCTCCTCCTCCTCCTCCTCCTCCTCTCCTCCTCCTCTCCTCCTCCTCCTCCTCCTCGTCCTCCCCCCGGGATCCGCAATGGAGCCAAGCCTGGGGACGCCTTGGGCCAGGGGCACACTTCGGCAGCCCCGTGACTGCCCCCTCCCTCCCTCCGCCTCCGGCACCCGTTCCCCTGGGCGTGCGCCCTACCGTTGCGCTGAGGATTCAGTCGGGCCTGTCCCCCTACAGGGGGATTTTCGACGAAAAATAGAAAATACACAAAAAATACCCCCAAAAGGTTCCAAACATTATTAATAAATAGTTCCCAGACCATGTTTGGACGATTTTTTTTTTGTGTATTTTTTATTTTTCGTCGAGAATCCCCCAGTAGGGGGACAGGCCCGACTTAAGCTTAGGACTCTCTTCGGGCTCTGGCGTGTTCAGCCGACGCTGCCCAGTGGTCCCGCGGCACGGGCATTCAGGCGACTCAGACCTCAGACTAACCTCTCCTGTAGGTCAGTCTGTCTGAGTCGCTCTCCAGACAGAGTGGTGGAAGGTCCTCTTGCTGAGGGTCTGCAGTGGTTGAGTCAAAAAACACACCGGGCGTGACGTCACGGAAGGGCGACACATGGGAGTGGGTGCTGACAGGTGCACCTTCAGTCGTGCCCCTAGGGGCGCCACTAGAGGGGCCCCCCGGGGCCAAAGAGTGACAGGAGAGGTGCACGTTTCTCCCCCCCTCCGAAAAAAATGAGCATCGTTTAACCGATCCCCATCCCCACCAGCGTGGGCTGGGCCCCACTGGCCGATTTACCCCCCTTGGACGGGGATATAGGCTGCTCTCGTCGGGCTTCGATGGGCAATTCCCCAACTGAGGTGGTGAGACGGTGGGGCTCGAGATGTGGATGGGGATGGGGGCAGGGATCGGTTGAACGACATTGGGAGAAAACTACATAAACATAAACTGTTGGCGGTCCGTTTGGTTTTCCTGGATCGGCGCTGGGCCCCGCGGCGGCGCCTCCGGCGCCGCCCCTGGCGCGCTCCGCGCGCCGGGGAGGGGGGGGCCTGGCTCAGGTCCAAGAAATCCGCGCGGACCGTCGAGAGTGTACGGCTGTGTCGTTTGTTTTTTTCCACTGGTCGCCCCCCATCGATTAGTCGGGACGGACGAAAGGGGGGGATTGGGAAAGGGGGGGTTACGGAATTTGCTGCATGCAGCTGGTTTCGGCCCCACCGAGGAGCCCATTCCTCGACACATGGTCGCCTCCGGCGCCGGGAGGCGCCGGGAAAATCAGCTACGCGAGCTGATTCTCCAACCCCCCCTTTGCTATCCCCCCCTTTCGCCCGACCCTAGTTAGCCGCCCCCCCCCGAGGGTGGCGCCGTCGTGAAGCCGTCGCGCCGCCCGCCTCGCAGGCGCCGGCGCGCGCAGCGCGCTTCGCGAGGGGCAAGGGCGGGCCTCCCGCCTTCCCCGAGAGAGGGAACGCCTGGAAGCCTCGGCCCTCTTCGGGCCGGTCGGGCGGATGGTAAGGTTAAGTCGGGCGTGCCCCTCTACAGGAGGAAGACTCAACACACAGCTTTGCAATAAAGCGGGGACGATCTGTTTTAAATCTATGGTTAATCATTCTTGCATGTCTGTGTGACTATTTGAGTTGTTCCTCCAAATCCTCCTGTAGACCTCATGGTAATGGGGGGTGGCCTAAAGGGGGGGGGCGAACAAAAAGGGCACCAGAGGGGGGCCTTGATAGGGCCCCTGTGGGAGCCAGCTCGTGCCCAAGAGGAGCCCTAAAGGGCCCATGTTTTGAGGCCTTTTTCTCCACCTCCTACTCGGGTCCCCCCTCCTCCTCCCTCCTCCCTCCTCCTCCCTCCTCCTCCTCCTCCTCCTCCTCCTCCTCCTCCTCCTCCTCCGCCGCCTCCTCCTCCTCCTCCTCCTCCTACTCAGGTCCCCCCCCGTTAAACCACCCGCCCAAGTCGGACGATCAAAAGGGGGATCTGGAGAGGGGGGCACAAAAGAGCGGCTATCCCGGCGGCCAGCCCGGGGGGAGGTGGGAGTCGAAGAAGGCGCTTTGAAGGCAAAGGCGCCCCTTGCATCCGCTCTGGGCCCCCCCGGGCGGCGTCTCGGGCGCCGCCCCTGGCGCGCTACGCGCTAGGGAAGGGGGCCCAGCGCAGATCCAAGAAATCCGCGCGGAGCGCCGAACACTTATCTTTGTGCTGTTTTGCTGTTCTTACGCTTCTTCTTATTCTTTTGTTTAATATACTTCCTCAATGTTTTCTTTTCCTATTAGTATTCTGATTCGTGTTCTCTTATTCTTATGCCTCATAGTCTTCATTATCTCATTATCATTGTTATCATTATTCTAGAGACGGGCCGGGCCTTCTCGGCAGGCTCGGAAGTCCCCTGGCCTTTGAGAAGTCTTCAGAGCCTTCCCCGAAGAGAGATGGAACTTCTCAGAGGGCCAGGGGACTTCTGAGAAGCCACGCCGCCTTCTCAGGAGGCCTTCTCCTTCCACTTCGCCCCTGGCTTGCCGCCGATTCTCGATTCTCGGGTCCCCCAGCGGTTTTCCAACCTCGTGGTGCTTTCCCGCAGGTGCGCCTCACCTAGAGCGTCCTGGGTCTGCCCGGCCAGTCCCGAGCGGCTGCCGGGGACCTGAGCTATAAAGTTATGGCCCGAGAGCCAGGCGGTGAGGACCACTCGGGTCGGACAAACGAGGGGGATTGGGGAAGGGGGGGGGTACGAAGTCTGTTGCATGCAGTGCGTTTCCTTTATACACTGGCGCCTCTGGCGCCAGGAGGGGTGACCTTTCTTCATCGATCTTTGTTGACGGCCCAGTGGATGGAAAACGGCCTCGCAGAGAGTTTCAAAATGATGACACGCTGGCCGTCTCGCCTCGATGTTTCTCGATCCTCCGGATCTTTCCTGGCAGTGAGATGAGGGCAAGAGCTCCGGAACGCTCTCAGAGCGTTCCAGGAGGTTGAGTAATGGCCGCGGCGCCTGATTGACACATTCCAGGTTTGCCAGCTCTCAGAGTTCCCCGCTTATCCGTATCCGAATTGAATGTCTTCGTGGTATTCCGGGATGCATCTCAGATTCGGTGTCGGCGTTGGTATGTCTGTGGTCGAAAATTGGTTGAATCCCGCTCAATCTCTTCCAGTCCGCCCCAGTCCCGCTCAATATTGGGCTCAATCTTGGGCTCAATCCGCGCTTAGCCGCCTCCATGGCCCCTGACCGTTCTCACAAAGGCCGCAGACGTTACTCCCGAAGTCTCGTCTCAAGTCGGGCATGTCCCTCTGCAGGATGAGGAAGAACACAAATAGTTAAGACATAGTCTGGGGACGATCCGTCTCTTTTTGTGTAATCGTTTTGCTAATGTTTGACAATTGTTCGTCCAAAACCCGCCGTTAGGAGGACATGCCCGACCTATTCGGATGCAACTCCTGGCAGGTAACATTATGATTTTGGCCTGGTCCGAAATCCGGCTTAATCCCGCCTAATCCGGCTTCATCCGAGGCCCATTCCAGCGTAACAGCGCCCCAATGGCTTAATCTTCCTTTTTCCTTCCGACGAAGACCCCTCAGAAGTTTTAAGCCGGGCCTGTCCCTCCACAGGGGGAATATACGAAAATAGTCAAAACAAAGTCTGGGGACAAAGTTTTATGAGTATGTTCGATCATTGTTTGACTATTTTTGATCTTCGTGCAAAAATCCGCCTGTAGGGGAACATGCCCGACCTAATAGTAGTTGCTCCCTAACATGCCCGACCTGAGTCCCGCCGAGCAGCGCGCCAGGTCCACCGGCGCGAGAACACGGCCGCCTTCCAGCACAGGCGCTTCTCCTGCCTTTCTTCGCGCTGGAGGAGGAGGAGGAGGAGGAGGAGGAGGAGGGAGGAGGAGATGGAGGAGGATGGAGGAGGA